TAAATGAAGAGAGCAAGGATGATAAATACATGTTCAAAATACAAAACGTATTATGAAACTGTATGCTGGTAACAATAAAACTGAAATAAAACACTACACAAAACAGCCTAAAATGTTCAATCTTTTGCCAGGTATAGTGGCTCATGCCTTTAACCCTATCATTTGGGAGATAGAGGAAGGCAGATTTCTGTGAATTCAAGGTCAACCTGGTCTACATAGTGAGTTCCAAGACAGCAAGATATACAAAGTGAGATCCTATCTCCAAAAACCAAATAAATAAAAAAATATCCAACCTTGGCAGAGAAATCAAGGCTTTCTAAAATCTGTATATCAAATCCATAAAATATTGTAGAGAAAAAATTAGACACCCAAATAAATGGAGAGAGACAACAATTCATGGGTTGGAAGACTCAGTTTTGTTAAAATGCCAATTCTCCCTACATTGACCTATAAATTCATTATAACCCATATGATAATCCCAGCTGCCATTTTAAAGAGAAACTAGAGAATAATCTGATGAGGCTGGAGAGATGACTCTGAAGTAAAGAACATTTGCTGTTCTTCAAGAGGACCCAAGTTAAGTTCCTAGCACCCACTTCAGTTTGTTCACAGCTACCCAGTAACTCCAGTTCCAGGAGATCAAATGCTCTCTTCTGGCCTTTGAGGGCACCAGCACACACACACACACACACACACACACACACAGAGAGAGAGAGAGAGAGAGAGAGAGAGAGAGAGAGAGAGAGAGAGAGAGAGAGAGAGAGAGAGAAATAATTCTTCAAGTAAAAAGGACAAACTTAGCTGGGCAGTGGTAGTGCATGCCTTTAGTCCCAGCACTAACTCTATGAGTTAGTGGCCAGCCAGGTCTACACAGAGAGGCTACACAGAGAAAACCTGTCTCGGAATAAAAAAGAAAACCACTAGAAAGAGATCTACCATATGGCCCAGCTATACCACTATTCAAGGGACTCTATAGCCTAATACAGGGATACCTGCTCATCCGTGTACGGATAATGATGGTGTGCTGCATATACACAGCGGAATTTTATTCAGCTGTAATGAAAAGTAATTTCTAAAATTTGATGAAAATGGATGGAACTGAAAAATATTATGCTGAGTGAAGTAACCCATGTCCAGAGAGTTAAATGTCACATGTTCTCTCTCATATGTGGCTCACGACTTCAAATTTAGATTTGTTTGTTTGACTTGGAAGTGACAAAGGGCCACGGTGGGGGGAAGAGGGGAAGGAAAGAGGCTTAAAGGGGCGGGGATGGGGGAACACGTGTGATTATAACATGGAAGGGAGACACGGGTGGAAGCGTCAAACAGGGAGGGTAAGATGGAGTATGGGGAAAGCACCAACCAAAACTAAGACTGTCTGAAGCAAGTCACATGGAGATCTTCTGCTTAATAAGCTAATTAAAAGATTTTTATTCATGCATGGGGTGGTGATAATGTTGATCCCAGAAGCGGGGGGTCAGCAGTGGTGACCTGGACCCTGAATGCAATAATACCAACGTATTAGTCATTGGGTGCTTTGCTTACCGGTGCAATAATGGCATGATTGTTGTGGGATAATCATTTCCGGTTTCTGATTGGATCAGAGGCCCACTCTATAGGAGAAAGCACTGTGGACCTGGCTAAAGCCTGGTGACTAGGAAGATGGATCATAGGCACTGGTGGAAAACCACTACTCGTTTTGTTAAGTGGACATGTTGTCAAACTGCCTTCTAAGTATTTATATGTGCACCCATAGACCTATGGTGCCCTTGGTCTTGCTCAACAAAGCTTCTCTAAGCAGTGAGTCGTAGTTAATGCAAAGATGCATGGCTGGCAAGGTGCTGAGGATGAGTGATTGCCAAATGCTCAGCCTTAAGTGGGGCAGCCACATCACCCTCTCCAGTGCTCAGGGAACATTTCAAAAGATGGAGTGCAAGGAGCACGAGGGTGTCCCCAGATGATGGGGACAGGAGGGGTTGCTGTGCTGTGAAATGGTGTCTTAGGAGCATGACATGGCTGTGGCACTTACGCACTCATGCAGCTGCAGATGCTTGCACAGAGCATGCACAGGACCAAGTCCTTAAACATCAGGTCATAGATGGGGGAGGGTCTCATGAGACCCCACCCCACCTCACCCAGGAGAATTAAGGGCTGATGAGGGCGAGGAGGTCATTGTCTTCAGTGGTCCAGGAAATAGCTTCACACCCATGCCCACAGGAGTCGTATGTCACAGAACAAAACAAAACAAAACAAAACACAAAATAAAAAGACATGAAGGTGTGTGGTGGGGGAGTGGGTGGGGGGAGGGGATGATGTTGTGGGGGAGAGAAGAATAAGAGGGTGTTGGGATGACTGTGACCAGGATGAGCTACATAGATGTATGAAACTGTCAAACAACGAACAAGCTTTAAAAGACTTTTGTGGCTTCTTTAAAAAGTTAGACATGTATGAAGGATAACAGTCCAGTCCTTCCAGTTCTAGGAGTGGAAATAAAAACACTCTGCAAGCCTTATTATGCACAATAACCACATTATTTCTAGGAGCACCAAGGCAGAAACAATTAGATGTTTTACCACTAGGCAAGCAGATTAACTCTCACACTCCCAGGGGGAAAATATGTAGCTAGGGTGGAACATGACTTGGTAGTTTCTTACAAAGCTAAGCCTTCTTTACGATTCAGCAATCACGTTTCTATGTAGTTAAACAAGAAAAACAAAAAAGTAAGTGTCATCTGAAAATCTGTACTTAAATACAACCATTTTATTTGTAATTGCCCCCAGACCAGAGACTACACAAATGCACTTCAGTGGGTGAAAAGAAAACTATAAAAATCACCAAGCACTGATATCTACTGCATGAATGAGGCTCAAATGCATTATGGCAAGTGAGAGAAATCAGTAAAAACTTCCCACGCTATGATTACATTTCAGTGGCATTGTTGAAAATGCGGGAATACACAGAAAACATGCGATCTAAACCTAGCACCTGCATAGACCTGCATAGAGAGAACAGCACCCACCCGTGTTCACCTCTGTTACCTGACTCACCAATGTATTGTGGCTCCCAGGCAGTGAGCCTAGCAGAGTAATTGGTACTCAGTCAGTACTCAACAAATTATTGCTGTTCCCTATACAACCATGCCTAAAGGAGCAGCTTGGTTAAATCCAGTATGTCACAGAGCATCACCCCTCCCCCCCCAAAAAAGACATGAAAGTAGGGTGGGGAGTTGGGGGGAGGAGGAGAGGGGATGGAGGGTGAGAGAAAGACGGCTCATTTTCTTTCTTTCTTTTTTTTTTTTTTTTTTTTTTTTTTTTGGTTTTTACGAGACAGGGTTTCTCTGTATTGTTTTGGAGGCTGTAGGTCCAGCCTGGCCTCGAACTCACAGAGATCCGCCTGCCTCTGCCTCCCGAGTGCTGGGACTAAAGGCGTGCGCCACCACCGCCCGGCTTATGGCTCATTTTCTTAATGGCACTTTCCTCAGGGAAGGATGTGTAATTCATGGAGCCAAGAGAATATCCTTCCCTAGAATCTTATTTCTCTCTTCCAGTCAAGTGGAAACCACTGCCCAGATGATACCAGGGTCTGTATATGCCTTTCCCAGTTTCTCCTGGAGGGAGACCCAGACGCCAACATGAGCACAAGCGGACCTGAAAGTCGCCTGTGGCCCAGCTGTCCGCGGAGGCCTGGGACAGAGTTAAAATGTAGCCTGAGCATCCACACATGCCCCGTGGGGCGCCCTTCAGCCATGCAGATGGGAGCGAGAGATCATAGGAGGACGGGGAAAAGTCTGGAAGCCCTTTCTCACCACACAGCCCAGCTGTGTCTGCGGACATTTCAAGGAGTGTTAGGACTCTAAAAGGCAGCCTGGCTTTCTACGTTGTTGTGAGAGTGCAGGTCGGCCCTGGAGACGGCACACACTTGAGTTTGCTGCCTGTACAACTTTCAAGTATCTGGACATAGGGTATGGAAGGTGGAGTGTACTTTTGCCCCAGGCCTGCACGTGTCAGGACAGGTCTGGCGCAGGGGATAAAGCAGGAAAAGTGGGAGACCTCACTTCGCGGCTACAGGGGTCATCCTATAAAATTACTTCCAAGAGGCTGCTTGCCGGGCTTCTGTGAGGGTCTCGGGCTGTCTCACTGGTTCTCTGAAGGTCCAGCCCCCCACCCACCTTCACCATGTTGGTGCTTGACAACCTCCATAAAAAAAAAGCACAACTTTCTCTCTTCCGTTTCATCTCCCTACACCTGGATGCTACTGAGATTTACTGAGATTTATACTTTGGCTGCCCTGTCGTTTTTCTTTTAAACGCTCAATGGAAGTGCTGTCCAGCTTCCTTCTGAGTAGTCTGTTTCTAAACTCTTTTACTAGCCCACAAAAGGAAGCCTTGCTGATGGCCCCGGTAGTGAGCAGAGCGTTAGGAACGAGTGCCAGACAAGGGAGGCCACTTGTCTGTCTACAGTGGGGTGTCACTGAGGGGCCCCGGCAGCCAGGCTTTCGGGGAAGGCTGCAACTCACGCGTCACCCCGTCCTCAGAAGCCCCTCTGGGGGTCCTCTAAGAAGGCGGGGTGGCACGGTCGCGCGTGTGTTCCAGCAGGATACTCCCACCCTAGCCACCAGGGTCTGGGGTGGGGAAAATAACGGGAGGCGAGAGAAGCGAACGGAGAAACGGGGAAGGGAAAGGAGGGAGCGACGGAGAAGAGAATACAAGGGAAGCGAGGCTCGTCTCCACCGAGCCAACGGTGAGCAGCGCAGTCACCACGACGTCCCTTGCCTGCGTGTTGTCCACGATGAGCCTGTCGGGGTTTCCACAGGGAAGAATCATTCGGCTTCAATAATCCTAAAAGAAAATTCTCTCACTTTACCCGACTCCCCAGCCAGAAACATCATCAGTCCCTTCGGGCCTGGCACGGAGGAAGGATGGAGCCCGCGATCTCCCAAAGAAGACTTTGGGTCCTCCGCCTGAGCCGAGCAGTTAGCGTTCCGGGTGGGGTCGTGGGTACCTGAGCGCCCCGGGACGCCGGGGGCAGGGGGACTGACGCCCTCAGTGCCTCCGCGCGGAGCCGAGGCGGGAGGACGCCACCTCCGCCGAGCTCGGGAGGCACAGCTTGGCTCACACAGGCTGGCGGCTTGGCGTTGCCTTAGTAACCACGACTTCCGCTTCCAACCGGAAGCCCAAGTCGCCGCGCTTCCGAAAGTGTGTCCACCCCCCATGTGGGCGGAGAGGCCCGGCCCCGCCCGCGCCGCGGCCGCCCTGAGCCCGGCTGTCCCCTGGGACCGACGGGAGGACCGGGTGGCGCCATGGACGCCTTCGTCCGCTTCACCAACCAGAGCCAAGGCCGCGACCGGCTTTTCAGGTGAGTCGGCTGCAGTCGGCCTCCAGCCGCGTCCCGCCCTGGGCTCGGAGGAGGAGGCGCGGGGACGGGACCCTACCCTCAGTGGGGCTGTGCGCGCCGGCCGCCTCCGTGCCCCTGGATGCGACAGCACGCGAGGCCGGCCGGGTCCCCTAACTCTCCCCCGAAGAGGGAAACTGAGTCCCCAGCGCTCAGCGTCCTTCCTAGACATTTCTTTTCGAGGGAAACTTTGAATTACTTTTGTACCTAAGGAAGCAGAACCTCCGTGGCTTGCAGCGCCGCGTGAAGTGCTCACTGAGAGACAGTTTTATCTTTTATCTTCCGTCTTGGCTCAGCCTGTGCGTTGGAGATACTGAATGTTATTTTAAAAAAAAGCTTTGTAAAACTAGAAAATACAATGGAAAAAGTGTTCAAGTACATGGTGTCCTTTTTAGTGTTTGAAACTAATCCGCCTTCATTTTTTTTGTTTTAAAAGAGAAATTTGTCTGAGTGTTGCTCAATGATCTTTCAAAAGGAAAGGAAAGGAAAAAAATAGTTTTATTTAACAGCTCTTCTCTTCCAGGTGTTTGTGTTCAACCACTAATATAAACTAAACATGTAAGTAAGGAAGATCCTAATAATGAGACTCCAGGAGACCAGCTGCTCCGACCTTCGTTGCAGCCCTGTGGAGGAGACGCTCTAATACCCCAGTTTCACATGTAGGGAAAGTGAAGCAGGAGCTTCAGGAGCACTAACGTGCGTGCAGAGCCCGGAGATCCAAGTCCACACAGCTGGCTCCAGTGCCCACCTCTGAACACAGTCACGCGGCCTCCTGTTTAACTTGATAGGTTTTCAAAGTGGTTGGAACTGTACACGTTTCATTAAAAGTCAAAACATATCATTCTAGTGTGCCCAGAATGTGCCCTGCAATGCCTTTCAATAAAATAATGGTCTAGGGTATAGGTATTCAGTAAAATTTTATTTCCCAGTCGTTTTTAAGGATCTGTATAACCATCAACAGACCCACTCCTATTAGACCAAATCTGAGAGAGGAGGCTGTGTAGACATGAGCAGTTGAGCCCTCTGGCCAGAAACGGGATTCTGCCTTCTACTCTCCCTCATTCTGCTTCATTACCCCAAACTGGCCCATCATTGTGGAAAACATAGCACTTTGGGGAGGATTTATTCATTTATTCTGAGAAAACCTTACTCTGAAGCCCAGACAGCCCCTCATCACAGCCTTCTGAGCACTAGAATTGTAGGCATGAGCCACCAGCCCTGTACCACACTTTTACCGAGAAGCATTTATATCATACAGGGACTCTGGTGCAGTTCTAAGACAGTAGGGACCAGCACCTACTGATTTTTGTTTGTTTGTTGTTCTTCTGTTTTGTTTGAGACAGGGTTTCACTATATAGTCTTGGCTAGCCCAGAATTCTCTGTGTGGACCAAGCTGGTCATGTCGACCTTCCTCTGCCTCCTGAGTGCTGGGAATAAAGATGGGCACTACCACACCTGGCCCAGAACCTGCTTTTACTGAGTAGGCTGCAGATGCACTTGGATGTTCGTGATTCTGATTTATTATATTTATTGCCATTGCTGGTATAATAATCATTTTATTGGATTACAGTATTGCTAAACAGTTTTTTTTATAAAGTACTAATTTGTTTGAAGACAAACACTGTAGCCACTAAATTGTATATTGTTGTGTTAAAAACTAAATATTAAGACTAGACTATTCAAAACAAACAGACAAAAGACTGGATTTTCACTTGGCTTTTGAGTTTGTTTACTGTCACACAAATAATAAGTTTACGCTATGTGGCAGAAAAGTCCACTTTGGAAATCTGAAATCATTCTTCACAGGGGCGAATAGCAATGTGGAGCTTTGTAGAACTGAGAGCCATCTCACTTTGATTTACACCCATCTTTCTGTGACAGCAAAGGGCTCTGAGGCGCTGTGCCCTGCAGAGTTGCAGAGTCCTCTTTGCTAACCTTTGTGCTGTGTTACCATTACATGTTCACCCTTTGGCCCTGCTATGCAAGGACTGTTGCAGAACATCGCTGTTGTAAGAGCTTCAACCTGAGAAGCCTTCCCAGAAATTCTGCCCCGGCGTGATGTTTCTCTGCTTTTACAGCACATGTTTCTCCTTCCCTTCATGAATCAGACTATTTGGTTTGTAAACCATTTTCCTCCCCCCTCCTTTTTTTTCCATTTCAGAGCCACTCAGCATGCATGCATGTTACTTAGATATTTGTTAGAGTCTAAAGCCGGCACAGAGGCGGCGATAGTGAAGCTCAAGAGTCTGGAGTCCAGTGTGAGCACTGGCCGTAAATGTAAGTACCTGTCTCTCCAGGGTAAATCATCAGCCTCAGGCCCTGGAATTCACAACGTGCTTTCAAGGTCATCATTTCCATTCACCCAAGTCCACGACGGAACTGGCAGTAACCCTGCCTGGTGACTCAAAAAAAGGCTGAATGTTTTCCTACAGACCCTTCACAGACGTCTTCGTCTGTTCAAATTTGGTACCATACCGTATCCTCCTGCGTAATCATGGCTGGTGGGGCATACCGTGTGCTAGTTCACTTCAGTTCTAAGAGCGTCTTGGCAGTGCCCAAACATGGACTTCAGTCTAGCATGAGCCCTTCAGTTCTGTGGAACAGGACAGCCATATCCTAGACCACATGCCTTCTCCTCCTCGTCTGATGAAGACGACTGGAGGGTCTGAATGAGTGCGTTTTCTTAGACAGTTTGCCATGTGGTTTCATGTGAAAGGCAAAGAATGATGGCAGGTGTTTTCCCTGATGGATACACTTTCATAACAGTCACCCTGGGAAAGCCCATGCCTCTCACAACAATTGCATGCCTGACTCCATTGTCTGATGAAAAGCAGATGCTTCAACAATAGATCAGCAGATACATTAGAATGGGATGTAGCCCATCCCATATTGATGAGTTGTTTTGACTCCCTGCATCATATAGGGTCATCTCTCAGATTTATGGGAGAGATAAAATCATTTTACAAATAATATTTGGTTCCAAATAATATTTGGTTCCAAATAGGATGGCTGGGGAGGAGGAAAAAATACATTTTGAAGGAGGTAGGATTTGAGCTGTGGCTGGAGAAACAAAGTCTTCTAAAAGGTAGGTTTCCCCTAGCAGAGGCTCAGGATTGTTAGAATCAAACCACTGTCCTGGAGGGTCAGTGTCAAACCAAAATCTGATTTGGCAGAGAAAGAAGACTTAAACAGTCAACAAGAGGTCTGGGAAGGGTTGGGTAAGATCTCTGGATGTCTTTGAAGGCCAAGATTAGAAATTCTGTCATAAATTCTCTAGAATGTCATTGCTGAAATGTCCTTTAGAGTTTCACTAGTTTTTTTTTTAAGATTTATTTATTTATTATGCATACAGTGTCCTGTCTGCATGTACCCTTGCATTACAGAAAGGGCACCAGATCTCATTACAGATGGTTGTGAGCCACCATATGGTTGCTGAGAATTGAACTCAGAACCTCTGGAAGAGCAGCCAAGTGCTCTTAACCGCTGAGCCATCTCTCCAGCCCTGGAGTTTCTTTCACTAGTCTTAAAAGTCCAGAAGGTGCTTACCAATGTCATCCAGCCAACCAGCCCATGAGCTGGAATGAGAACCTGAAACTCCAGTTTTGAAGCAGTCATTTCATAAACTGCTGCGTGTTAGCTCAGGTGCTCTTTTGAGACTGTAAGTGTTTGGAGAGTAGCTGCTTCTGGGCAGTTACTAAGTCAATAACCCATCTCTGGGAGCCCAGTAGGTGCCTGTGCATGGACGACCCCCGTTGACTAGTAACAGCTGGTGTAAGAGCCCACACTGCAGCGGTTTATTAGTTCATCTAGCAGCTCCATGTGACCGCTGCAACGTCGCCCCTCAGTCCTGCCCTTTCTCTGTGCTCTCCTTTCGTCGTGATCCGGAGGAAGATGGGTCAGCATGGTAACCAAATGATACTTCTTTCTATTGCTGTGAAGAGACCCCATGTCTAAACCAGCTCTGTATAGGAAACAGTTTAATCGGGGGCTCGCTTACGGTTTCAGAGATTTAGTTCATTATCATCATGGCTGGGAGCATGGCAGCAGGCAGGTGTGGTACTGGAAATGCAGCTAAGAGCTACATCTTGCTCCATAGGCTGAAACCTCAGTGCCCACCCCTAGTGACATAACTTCTTCCAACAAGGCCACACCTCATCCTTCTAATCCTGTCAAAGAGTTCTACTCCCTGGTGACTAAACATTCAAATATGAATGGGGGCATTCTTATTTAAACCACCGCAAATGGGAATCAAATGCATAAGAATGTTGAACCTGGAGCTCGTCAAGCACTGTTCTGCTTATAAAACATAATAGTACACATCCATGGTTAGCCTTGTCTGGAGTATACTGGAAGCGAATGTTAAAGTATGCCTTGGAATGGGGGTGGTAAATTGTAAAGGTCACTAACTGTTGGGCTTTGCAGGATCACTGTAGGGCTACTTTCCTCAACTAAGACTGAGCCTGGACTGCCGTCAGCTGCTAAATTATGAATCTTTGGCTCCCCAAGGGCTTCTGCCTCCCTTTCAGTACTAATCAAGTGCTGATTCTGTGGGTTCTTTTTACAGGGTTCAGACTGGGCAACGTGGTCCACGCCATCCAGGCAACTGAACAGAGCATCCAAGTCACGGACCTTGTGCCCCGCTTATGCCTTACGCTAGCCAACCTGAACCGTGTGGTTTATTACATCTGTGACACTGTCCTCTGGGTGAAGAGTGTGGGTCTTACCTCGGGAGTCAACAGAGAGAAATGGCAACTGCGGGCCACCCGCCACTACTACTATTTCCTCCTGCTGAGCCTGGTCCGGGATCTGTATGAAATCTTGCTGCAGATGGAACAGGTTTTACAGGACAGGGCAAAGAGAGAGAAATCACCCCAGGGCTCTCCTGGGTACAATGTGGTCAGCGAAGACACAGACTACCTCCAGTCCTTTCTCCTACTGTTCTTCCGCTCCCTGAGGCGGCACCCTCCCTTGCTCCTGGACACAGTGAAGAACTTGTGTGACATCCTCATCCCTTTGAACCAGCTCGGGATCTACAAGTCCAATCTTGGTGTCGTAGGACTTGGGGGCCTCGTGTCCTCTGTGGCCGGCCTCATCACTATAGTGTACCCTCAGCTTAAACTGAAGACCCACTAGGTGTTTGGGGGTCTTATAGGTGACAGCTTAGTGGAACAAGCTTCTGTTTTGGTCTCAGGGTCTTACTATGCTAATTGCTTAATCATGTGAGACTCTTACCAACCTGTAATGTGAGAAGTGGGACCAACAATGGAGCGTGCAAACTGAACTTTTTTTAAATGCTGCAGTAGCTTCTGAATTTCTGAGTATTTTCCCTTCAGCTAACATTACTAGGTATTTTTTATATACATAGTAAGAGCTTAATGTTTGCTGAATGAATAAAAATGGAAAGGAAAGAAATCATGAAAGACTCAAAGACACTAGAATCATGGGTTGGGTCGTTTGGCTCCCTGACTGCACATACTGTACCAGAGCTGGGACACAGCACTCCTGGCTCTGGTTAAAGCCTCCCCTCCTCCCATCAGTTACTATGCCCCATCCCCACAGACGGCAGTGTGGCATGGAGGGAGCTGGGCCTGGAGCCTCAAGCTGTGGCTCTGGCCGTTTCCGCAGCCTGTCCTTACGTACAGAGGTAGATTCAGGACAGCGTCGGGACCTCTGTGCTGTGGGTTGGGTCAGGGTGGAAGCCTCTGGAAATGCTGTGAGTAAGCAAGGAGGAGGCAGTGGGTGGAAGGTCACTGTGGTGCCTATCCCCGTGTGGCAGATAAGGAGATGACCCTAAAAAGCTGAACTCAGGTTCGTTCTGATTCTTTCCAGTCCTCTGTGCCATCTGGGACCCTCAGCAGCATTCCCAGCTCAGGGTCCTTTGCCTTTTGTCCTTAGCGCGCCCCCACGCCAGGCCCGGAGCTTTGATGGCTTCTCTTCTAGTCCATAAAAATCAAAACGATGCAGACTCACCCAGATTGGTTTTATTTACAGTTACATAACACTTTGGGCAGTTCCCAACCGTTTTCATCAAAATCAGAGAATTAGAACCTTCCTGTGTGTGAACGTGAGGACATCAGTTTTCTGTGATAGATCAGGGGACAGCTGGGGGGATGGGACTGGCAGTAGGGCCCGGGGACACCGAGTCAGTGCCGTTTGCCCGTGCTTGCCCTTCCCATTTCAGTCTTTCTGAGGGGTGGGGAGAAGGGCCGCCTTCAGCTGGGCCAGTGTCACACCTACAAAGCCACGTACATCCTCTGAGTGGAAACGAGAGATACGCACTCAACAGCTGCTTCCCACAAATGTGAGGAAGATTCCTGAAAAGCGGACTCGGTCCTTGGCACTCTGTTTTCAAAAGTGTGTGATTTGGGAAAACTTTGGGGGCATTCTGAGAGAAACTTAAGTGGCTAAAACAAGACAGATATGTTTAAATAACTGTTTGTACTGTAACATGTCAGTTATATCTAATACATTTCTAAACAAAACTGACTCGTGCATCCGTGAATATGTCTGGGATTGGAGAGAGTTTAGAGTAAGGCAGCGAGCAGGTGATCCCGTCCGAGGAAGCTCGGCTGGCAAAGTGCAGGCTGGGAGGAAGGCACAGGGACTATGTCAAAGTCCTTGGTTGAAAAGTTCCCTTGCAGATGTGTCCAATAGCTGGCTCGCTTCTTCCCGGGGGAAGCCTGCCTTGAGTGCATGGCAGTGTTTTTCAGATGTCTATTTTGGTCTTTGGGTCTTACACATTAGAGGGGGTGGTTGGAGGGTTGGATCTGCCATCTTCTAGAGTCTATAGACGCAGTGGGGCTCCTGCTACCTCATCCTTGTATCTTTCTCCTCAGCCAACCGTCTCCTGCTGGGTCCACAGTCATGAAGAACTTAAAAAACTACAAAACCCGCCGGGCAGTGGTGGCGCACGCCTTTAATCCCAGCACTCGGGAGGCAGAGACAGGCGGATCTCTGTGAGTTCGAGGCCGGGCAGGACCGATAGCCTCCAAAACAATACAGAGAAACCCTGTCTCATAAAAACCAAAAAAAAAAAAAAAACAAAACAACAAAAAAAAAAACTACAAAACCCAAGGAGCTGCACAGTCACAGTTGAACACTGCTGCTGAAGGCTGACTCAGCAAGTGTTTGAGTGCCCTGTTTGGCTTGGGGACCCACCTGTTCACAGAATGGCCAAGATCCCTGCTCTCCTGAGGCAGAGGGAAGGGAGCAGCATGAGACAGCTCAACACCCCCTCCACCCCCCACCCCCCCCCACCCCGGTACCATTGGAGAACTGCCTCTTCCCCTGCCCTCTTAGGATTTGCCTGGCTCTTTCCTTCCTCACCTCTCACCCACATTCTAGAATCCCAGGGGAAGCAGCCAAAGAACCAGCTTTGTCAGCAGAGCTTTTAGGCACAGAGCCCTATAGCCCCTCTGGCCCAAAGCCACCGCCTGAGAAGGCAGGATGCCCTTTAGCCTGGGCTGTGTCCAGATGGGAGCCTTCCGGATCATTTGTCCTGGACCTTGAAGTGAGAGCAGAGGCCACTTCACATACTTCTGTCCTTCTCCGCAGCTGCCGTACAGCTTAAAAGCTCAGACCAAGATTAATAAGTATCAAATGTTTCACTTATTTATTACTTCTTTTGGAAGCTCCATGCTCCTCGTTCCTCCCTTTCCTGACATCATCTTATTCTCTGTTTTACTATGTGAAGCTTAAGATTTACTACCAGGGATCCATCTGAGTCTTTCTTACATCCTTATTTTTTAATACATTTAACGTGTGTGTGTCTGTGTGTGTGTCTGTGTCTGTGTGTGTCTGTCTGTGTGTGTATGTGTGTCTGTGTGTGTATGTCTGTGTGTGTGTGTTTGTCTGTCTGTCTGTCTGTCTGTGTGTAGGTCAGAGGACATCTTGCCAGGATCAGTTCTCTCCTACCAGGTGGGTCCCAGGGATTGAACTCAGATGCTCAGGCTTGGTGGCAGACCCCTTAACCCGCTGAACCATTTTGCTGAACCAACCGCCCAGCGCCTTTCTTTTCTCTCATCCGCACTGACAGCTTAGCAGAGTCAACAACATGTAGATCTGCTGCCAGCTAGTCCTATCATTCATTCTGATAGTCCTTTTTAGACGGTCTGAAGACATTGGTTGGGCCCGTACTGCTCTGTCCTCTTTAATCAGGAAGTAAAATTTGAGCCTGGGCTTGAGGCCCCGCAGAGGACCGAATGGCATGTGGTGATAGTTCTTGGCTGTCTCGGTGCTGTTGGTTGGCAACAAAATAAAGCAAAACTCATCCCCGCCGTCGCTTCTCCACTTAGGTGAGCAGAGCCCAGTGGTTCTCCTCCTTCCGGTTTTGGAGGTATCTTAGGCTCTGCCCTCAGTCCCTGACCTTTTGAGGCAAGCGCTTACTGTGTTGCTCAGGGGCCTCCAATTATCATCCCGCCTCTGCATCCTGAGTGCTGGGGATTGCTGGCACTTGCTACCACAACCAGCTTCAAAATATTTTCTTAAACTTTCAAGATTTACAGAAGTTAAAACTATTCTCTCAGAGCCCAAATTACTAAGGGCTCAACTCTCAACTCTATTTTGTCTTCTTTGCAAGTAATTTATCTTGATAGTCATAGACTAAGAAAGTAAGTAAGTTGAACCTCATTCCTGTGTGGGTTTGAATCATGCTGTTCAGTAGTCATCCTTGCTAGCAAATATCAAAAGATAGGAGAAATTACAGGGGAGTACTGTCCCATAGAAACTTTTGGGGAAAGGGACCAGAGATTACAGAATTACATGGAACTTCGAATTTAGGAATTTAATGACACAAATACTATTGCCTTCTTTATAGAAAGCAGTTTTTGTCATCTGAAAGCCAGAAATATTCTGGAACTTTTGTCTTGGGACTCTGGCACAGGACTCCTTCAGCTCTGTGAGCCACCTTATCATTGCCTAAACACCCCCCACAGAAGCTAGGATGAGCCCAGGGGACATCCTGGTCAGACAGCTATGGCACTGGGCCACCCAGCTTTCTCTTCCTCTTTGCCCTCCTCCAGCTGGGAGGTCTGAGAGGCATTGCCCAAGACTCCCTAGAGTGGCTGGAGGGTTTCTGTGGAAGAGACGTTCTGCAGCTGGGCTCCCTGAGTCTGAGGTGGCTGTCAACTGCAGTGAGTGTGGGGTCCCGGGTGTCTGCCTTACCTGAGTGTTGACAGGGAAGGAGCTGAGAGGAAGAGCAGATGGGGAACTTACCAAGGGACGCAGAGCTCTGCAGGGAGACCACTGAGGAAAAGGTTGAAAGACCAGGGCCCAGAGTGGCCGTTGGCTTATCCAGAAGACAGCTCTTTTAGGAGAAGGCTTACCCAGCTGGCACTAGAGGGAAATGGTAATTAACTAGAATTTTGTCATGAGAAAAGTAAATTCTACCCGGCACTCATTCGTTAGTCTCTTTGGTACTCTGGGTTAAAAGCCCCAGACTTCATCCTAAGCCTTTTCTCTCATTATCTCATTATCTAATTTATCTACATTTTCTTTTGTCTTGAGTCCTCAAAAAAAAAAAAGCATCAGTTTTGAGCAGACTATGGAGTTCACTTTGAGCAGACTAGGAGACTCACTGTGTTGGGACTCCAAGGAGTGGCCTCTCCTATGTGGCATTCACCCTCCCGGATGACCGTGGGTGGTTGGGAGAGGTAGGGAGCCACCCTGTGGATTGCAAGCCTGTGGGCTTCTGATGGTCCCGGGACTCTGCTTTGCAGCCTGAAGAGGAAGGATGGCGATGAACAAGGGCCCAACCCTGCCGGATGGAGACCTCCCTGTGAGTAACCTGGCCTCCTGTGAGATGGCGAGTGGGTACCCAGGGGAGAAGGCAGCGGGCAGAGAGGGCAGCCAGGGGACCTCAAGCAAGATGTGTCCACCTGTGTTCCCAGCTCACGCTCGTTATTCCTGCCCTTGCCACTGTTAATAGGGGTTTTGGGGAACTGAGAAGAAGAGAAGATGCCTATGACGGTCTTAGCTGGGGGCTAAGGAGAGACGGGGAAAGAAATCGCCATGTCCTAAACCCTGAGGGAAGTCTACCACCCAGAAGGACATGTATGCCACTCGGTGCCCATGCATGTTCGTGGCTCTGCAATGCACTACCCGTGCTGCCATGCATGGGAATAAAGCAGACATTCAGTGTCTCTGGCCTGGATTTCCCCATGGCTTTAAGTAAATCTGATACTTTTATATGTCATTGATATGTTTTGCCAAGACCCCTCTGATTTGGGTATAGTTCAGATGTTAATGAAATTCAGAGGTATGAGCCTGTCGGAGACTAAACCTCTTCCCAAACTGGGCTTTAGTGACCCTCCACACTAACAGGTGTGTAAATGGGTCACACAAAAAAAAGTTAGGTCTTCTTAACTGTTAATGACTTCTTCCATTGCCAGCCCTTTTCTCCTTTAGCTTTGTTCAAAACAACCCTTGAAAACACCGTCCAAAGATGCTTCCTCACGTAGTCCAAATCCCTTTCTCCTTCTGATACCTGACTCACCTGCAGGGTGAGAGGCTAAAATAGTGTGACTGTTTGGTCCCAGGCCCACACGGGTCTCCTTGATGGCATGTCACAGGGTGCATCCAAAGTCATACAGAGCTGGAGCCGATGGGTCAACCCTGAAGAGCTGGCTCATACTACTTTTTCTATGGACAATTTTTTTTTTTTTTGGTTTTTTTGAGACAGGGTTTCGCTGTGGCTTTGGAGGCTGTCCTGGAACTCGCTTGGTAGACCAGGCTGGTCTCGAACTCACAGTGATCCGCCTGCCTCTGCCTCCCGAGTGCTGGGATTAAAGGCGTGCGCCACCAACGCCCAGCCTCTATGGACAATTCTTAACAAGACTAGGCAAATGCATACAAGGTCCCAGGGATTGTTGACAAATTCCAAAGGTCATGAACTCATGGCCAATCTGCCACATCCTCTCCCAATCATTAATTTATTTTATCTTCATTTACTTGGAAGTGCATTCCATATATTCCATTTCAAACCTGTCTTGGAAACAGTCCAATATAAGTGACAGATGTTTATAATCTCAGAACTTGGGAGGTAGAGGCAGGAGAATCAGATGCTGAAGGTCAATCCAGCCTTGGCTACATAATGAGTTTAAGGCCAGTCTGGACTAAATGAGACCCTACCCCTTTTTCATTGTTTTTTTTGTTTGTTTGTTTGTTTTGTTTTGTTTTTTTGAGACAGGGGTTCTCTGTGTAACAGTTCTGGCTGTCCTGGAACTCTCTTTGTAGATCAGTTTGGCCTTGAACTCACAAAAACCTGCCTTCCGACAAGACCCTATCTCAAAAACACAAAAAATCAGATCAAACCTGACTGAGGTCCTGGCTCTGTGTGATCCTGGGAAAGCTATCTCCGAATCTCAATTATTTCAAACAGCAAACTACAGTTAGGATTGAGATCAAGGCATCCAACCAGTACTCTGGAACGTAATGGTCTCTAGTAAATGTTGCTTCCTACTAGGAGACCAGATTCATTCTTTCTACTCAGTAAAGTGTAATTATATAACTGCGGACAAAGCAGAAATGCTTTGATAAGAGTATGTCATCCCAGTAACAAGAGATGACCCCACTACATCCAAAGGCTCAGACTCACTGGAGTGCCAACTTAAAAATGGAGTGTTATAGTTTAAGAAAGGCAATTCCAAATCATAAAGTGTCAGGAGAAAAGGGTCACAAGCCCGTTGTGTGGCCCACTTATAAACGGAGATAGGAAATGTAGCTATTTCCTGTGGAGAAGGGACTTTTGCAGGGAGTCACACCGGCCTTGAGGTATGTGATGGGCTGACACATAAAGGTGAAGCAGATTTGTTCAGGGTTGACCCAGTGGGGCAGGGGCAGGGTGTGGAGGCAGATTTCACCTCAGCAAATTTAGCCATCAAGGGCACCAGCCACTCTGGGAAGGCATCAAGCCCGCCCAAGGAGATTTCCAAATACAAGTCTAGTGAGACTTTCTGGAAAGGATTCTTCCTTAGGAGCCCCAGAAGGCCCAAATCCTGCTTATTCTGTGTAGTTAAGAAGAGCCCGTGCGCGGTGGTGGTGCACACCTTTCATTCCAGCACTCAGGAGGCAGAGGCAGGAGGATCTCTGTGAGTTCGAGGCCAGCCTGGTCTACAGAGTGAGTTACAGGACTGCCGAAGCTACACACAAACAAACACAAAACAAGAAAAAAGAGTGAGATCCTACACACATCCTACAAGGCACAGGCCCATGTGTGGCTCAGTTCTCCAGGGTTAGGCTTTCAGACAGGCACTGGGGAAAGAGGACATTCTACTGGGAGAGAGGAGTCATACGCACGCAATCATAGCAGGGTGACAGACACAGCCATGATGGAGGAGAGTCAAAAGTCGGTCATGGTGACACGTGTTTATAATGCCAGCATTTGGGAGGTGGAGTCCGTAGGATCAGTAGTTCAAGGTCATCCTTAGCTAAGTAGTGAGGTCAAGGCCAGCCATGGCTAGTTGAGATCCTGTCTCCCCAAGGAGGTGATAGAGAATAATATTCTACCAAGTAGAAAGGGATGTGGGAGGGAAGGGAAGTCTATTTGGTAGTGGGCCCAGCATCTCAGAAAGATCACTAAAATATTTAGATGAAGCTTCCAGTTGAAGGTGGACTAACTTGCTTTCAGCAGTCAAAGAGTGCTGGGTGAGCTGGGAGGGAGATGGGATTTGGCTTGCACAGATCACCTCAGGAGTTCTCCAGGATCTAGGTAGTGACCAGGAAGGCATGGCAGGCAAATTCACTTACCCTGTGGGCTCCCTCCTGGTCTCAGGACTGGGCCATTTAGAGACACCCTGTTTCCCTTAGACTCGGGCTGGCCTCACCGAAGACATGCACAAGCCTAGCTATGGTCAGCTTGCAGGGAGGTGGAGCGTGGGGTGTGTCAGGGGTGGTGTGTGGGTGGGTGGTGGGTCTAATTCCTCCTTTGCCCGCAGGAGCAGGAGAATGTGCTCCATAGAGTCCTGCAACTGCCTGTGGTGAGCGGCACCTGTGAGCGCTTCCAGAAGACCTACAACAGCACCAAGGAAGCCCACCCCCTGGTGGCCTCTGTGTGCCATGCCTACGAGAAGGGCGTGCAGGGTGCCAGCAATCTGGCTGCCTGGAGCATGGAGCCGGTGGTCCGCCGGCTGTCCACCCAGTGTGAGTTCTCACAGGACCTGGCCGCAGCCGGCCCGCCCACTGACGCTCATTCCATGTCTGTCTGTCTGCTTGTCAGTCTGTCTGATCCTCTCACAGCGTGATTGGTCACCTCCCTGACCTCCTACCTCCCTTGCTTGCCTGTATCCAATTTCCTGGTCTTCTCGTCTGCAGACAGAGAGAGGCAGAGATGCAGATTTCTTTGAGTCTGCACAGCCTCAGCTGAAGCCCAGCCTATGGCATCCTAGGCTAACAATGGCAGCCAAAGCATTTTCAGGGGGATAAACGGGCAGATCCGTGTGAGCAGTGGTGAGGGTGGACAGGCAGCGGCAGGACAGCTAGCCACGACGACGACTCCAAATACAGCAGAAGGAGCAGTGCCATGGACCGGAAGTCCCAGTGAAAGCCGGCCTAGCCGTACGGAGGGCGCGGCGGAAAGAAACAGCCCATTCACCTGGCGGCTGCTACCGGCTCCCCACAGGTGGGGCAGTAGAGAGCTACCGGGCAGGATCGTGAGGGCTGAAACAAGGCTCACTCTGTCTCCAGTACCCTGATTCCATCAGAAATGTGGTCTCTAAGATTCAGTGCAGCCAAGTGGTGGTGGCGCACGCCTTTAGTCCAGCACTCGGGAGGCAGAGGCAGGCGGATCTCTGTGAGTTCGAGGCCAGCCTGGTCTACAGAGCGAGTTCCAGGACAGCCTCCAAAACAATACAGAGAAACCCTGTCTCGAAAAACCAAAAAAAAACAAAAAACAAAAAAAAAAAACTGAGCCTTCCATGACCTCGGCCGCAGAGCCTACATCCTCAGCAGACGGTGGGCAGAGTCCCCTGAAAAGGCCTGCATCCTCCGGGGCGTGTCCCAGTCCTCAGGGCAGCTTCGTCCTCTTCCCTGTGGCTCCTTTCAGCTGCAACCATCTTGACAGCTGGGGGTTAAATCTGGTCCTAGGGACAACCCGGAGCTTCTCTGGCTGTGACTCCATTATCTCCAGGACTAAGGAAGTCCAGGCCTGGGGCCCCTGAGACCAATGCCAGAGCCCTGGAGCCACCTGGATTCCCACTTCCTCACACCCTTCCCGAACACTGAACGGGGGGGGGGGGCTGGGAGGAGCGAAGGGCGTTTGCTAGTGACTCATAGAGCCGCCATCATTTCCCATACAAGTTTGCCCACGCATCCACGCTTTACAAACACGGGGGTGGACGGTTCTGGAGCACGACAGGAGGGGGCAGCAGAGAGCTGCGGCCCAGGGCCCCAGAGGTAAAGAATGGGGCACGTGTGAGCCTTACCTGGCGTTCAGACCAATGGGACTTGCCAAAGTCACACGCTGAGCAGGTGCAGGTCTTAACTATTCCAAAATAGCCCTGCTCTCAAGGCGTCGTAAATGCCTACCTGGGAGCTAAATATAGTCTCTGGGCCCGGATGCCCTGGAAACCTCAGGGCTGGCTCTGTGGACCCGGTGTACTTCCTTTGAGATGGAGGCCACTGTTACTTCCTCAGGAGGGGCAAGGATCACCCCAACACAGCCCTTCCCTTTCAGTCACAGCTGCCAATGAGTTGGCCTGCAGAGGTCTTGATCACCTGGAGGAAAAGATCCCAGCCCTTCAATACCCTCCAGAGAAGGTGAGTCCTCCCTCTTCCCTAGTGCTCCCTACACTGCTGTGACCTCCTCCCAGGAAGGAGATCAGCTGGTCTGGTCCTGGCTGTGTAACTTTCTGTGTTCACGGGTGAGCACCCTCTTAGGCAGGCAGAGACCCCTCCTCTTTCTGAGGGGTCAGGTAAGTCGGGATGTCTGGGATAGCAGGCAAATGCCTTGGATAAGCATTTCATGCCCCTCAGGGGGAGAAAGGAAGGGCTAACCCCAATGTGGCCCCTCCATAATTGCACGGCCTTCTGACGCTGTGGCCACGGGATCTGGGGCTCTGTGGGTTTGCATAGGACTCTGTGATGACAACAGCTACCTAGATCTTGGGTGCCTCTCACTGGGATCTCAGGATTACATGCATGGCTCTGAGATCCAACCGTTTATGGGCCATGGGACCAAACAAGTCACTTTCCCTTGGCCGTACCGTTACCTACCCTTATTCAGTGCTGGCTTCAGTAAGGCCTGTGACATCTATTTTACTGACCAACCGCCAACCTGTCCTACAAATCTCCCGAGCCCTGCGCCCTGCCCTTGCCAACAGCCGCGGCACGGGCTTCATGGAGCCCTCCCAGTCATCCTTGGCGATGGGACTTGCTAATGAATAAACACAGCCTGAGGTGGAAACCGCTAGGCCTGCTGGTCCCCTCCTCTCTAGTGCTCCAGACCAAGTCAGCTTCCAGGTCTCCAGAGGAAGAAGGCTAATTGCTCCAGCACAAAACTTGCAGGAGGGTCATTCATATCTGTCCATCAGCGTGAACAGTGTGCCCGGGGAAAGGCAGAGGAGGGAGGGTAGAGCCTTGGAAGAGGGGATGCCTTATATGAATGAGGGTATCGGGACTGGTACCGCTAGGGAAGGCTCTGGGCTACCCTCTCAGGATGGGTCTTCACACAGCATAGAAGCCAGGTGACTGGCACAGCAAATGTGGCCTTTTTCTTTCCCGCATATCCACATATTCTTGCTGGTCCCTGGGTCCTTTTTTAATTTTTTAGACACAGTCTCATACTGTAGCCCAGGCTGGTCTGGAACTCACTATGCAGCCAAAGATAGTACCAGTCCTTGTGTTACAGTGTGTGCTGCCATGCCCGGGGTGCCTGGGTCTTTAAATAGGACCCTCCAGGGAGCTGGGCTCAGGGCCTGTGCGGGAATCCGCAGGGCTGACTGTCTCCCACACTCCTCAGATCGCCTCTGAGCTGAAAGGCACCATCTCTACCCGCCTTCGAAGCGCCAGGAACAGCATCAGTGTGCCCATCGCAAGCACTTCGGACAAGGTCCTGGCCAGCTGCGAGCTTGCCTTGGGGGTGGCTAAAGAGACAGCAGAGTACGCTGCCAACACCCGAGTCGGCCGACTGGCCTCTGGAGGGGCTGATCTGGCTCTGGGCGGCATTGAGAAGGTGGTCGAGTTCCTCCTGCCACCAGCCAAGGAGGAGTCAGGTAACTGCCCTCCAGACTGGCTGGCCACCCTGGGAGCCACTCAGCACCTGGACACCAGTGGGAAACTACAAGTCTTACTGGCATGGGGAATCTCCAGAGGATCTCAGTCCTTTAGTCCCTCCACCCCAGCCGTGTGTGAGAGACAGACAGACAGACAGAGAGACAGACAGAGAGAGGGAGGGAGGGAGGGAGACAGGAAACTGGCACTGGGGTCATGGTAAAAGTAAGGCAACTGTCTTCCAGCCCAAGGCACAAGGCCAAGCCCATTTTCTATTGTATTAACTCTTTCAAAATTTTACATGTCTGAGTGTTTTGACTGCATGGATGTGTGCACACCGTGTGTGTGGCGACTGCCTGTAAGAGCCAGAGGAGAACCCTGGATCCCCTGGAACTGGAGTTACAGATGGGCGTGAGCTATCATATTGGTGCTGGGAATTGAATTCAAGTCCTCTACAAGAGTGACAGGTCTCCTAACTGCTGAGCCGTCTCCAGGCCCCTCAGTCCCTTTTTGACGTCTTCTTCCATATCTTCTATCCAGCGCCTGCTTCCGGACGACACCGTGCCCAGAAGACTCCCAAGGTCAAACCGAGCCTCATGAGGAGGGTCAGCACCCTGGCCAACACTCTTTCTCGGCACACCATGCACACCACTGCCTGGGCCCTGAAGCAGGGCCACTCTCTGGCCATGTGGATCCCGGGTGTGGCACCCCTGGTAAGTGTGAGCTCAGAACCCTGCCTGGCCCCAGCTCTGTGTGTCTCCCAGGCCCTCCATCTCAGGAACATCCTTCAGGCTGGGCTGGGACTTTAGACATTGAGACGGGGCTTAGAGGATGGTGGGCTGATTGCCCAGCCTGTGGGAGAACAGAAGGATCAGGACACAAACCGTGTGGGTGGTCCTGCCCTTCACCCTCTCCTGCCTCCCCCACCCTCCCTCAGAGTCTCCCTGACTCCCAGCCTTCATGACCCCCAAGCGGGCCTCTTACATGGGCCTTCCCACCCCCATTTGCTATTCAAACAGTAGAAGTGTCACCCATAAGCCGGACGGTGGTGGCGCACGCCTTTAATCCCAGCACTCAGGAGGCAGAAGCAGGCGGATCTCTGTGAGTTCGAGGCTGGGCTGGACCAACAGCCTCGAAAACAATACAGAGAAACCCTGTCTCGTTAAAAAAAAAAAAAAAAAAAAAAAAGAAGAAGTGTCACCCATAAACAAGTAAACAAAACAAAAAAATTACAAAAAAAAAAAACCTATCCAGTGGACAGGAGTCCCAATAGCCCTCACCCCTCATTGCAGATTTGCAGTCTTCCCTTCTGGGGACTTCTGACTCCCCATCACACCCAGGCCAAGCTGCTTCTCCATTCGTCTTCATACAGTTAGGCTGCAGTTTTTGGAAATAAGTAACTTAGTGGAAAACTAGGAGGGAAAAAAGGAAAGGAAGAAGAAAAAAAACATTAAAGTCAGGCATGCAAGCACATACTAATAATCTCCACACTTGGGAGTCAGAGGCAGGGGGATTTCTTCAAGTTGGAGACCAGCCTTGTCTATAGAGTGAGTCCCAGACTATTCAAGTTGCATGGTGAGACCCCATTTCTAAAGGCAACAACAAAAGCCCCTTAGACAAAGATGGACAGAAAACCAGAGACAAGCGAAATGGTTAGAACGTGGAGGTGGGTCTGGGCTGTAGCTCTGTGGTAGGACACTTGCCTGGCTTCCTCAAGACCACACACACACAGAGCTTCGGGAAGAGAAGCCCGGGAGTCCTCAGGAAGTGACGGCTTCCCGTCGTGTGAAATGTCCTTTTGCTTTATTTTTTTAAACTTTAATTGACTTTTTTAAGTTAGGGTTTTATCTTGTAGCCCAGGTTAGCCCTTAATTTGTGTCAGTCTTTCTGCCTCAACCTTACAAGTGTCAGGATTGCAAGTGTTTCCCATCACACCTGGATGTGAGTAGTAATCTTTTTCAAATTTGATTTTTACTTATTATTACTCTGTGTGTTGTCGTGCCCCCTCCAGATACCGGGGGAGCATACTATGATGGCCCCTGTGCCAAGGTCAAAAGACAGCTCTTAGGGACTAGGGTACTTGAGAAGCAAGACAGGAAACCTGCAAGTTTGAGGCCAGCCTGGTCTACGCAGTGAGTTCCTGCCAGCCAGGGTTACATAATGAGGCCTGTCTTAGAAAACAAATATATAAATAAAAAATAAGTAAATATAAGCACCCAGGTTGTGGGTGCAAGCTCAAGCTTTGTACGGAGGAGCCCCAGATTCCATCTCAACACTAAAAAGCAAAGAGAATAGCCAGAATGAGTGTGTGGCTGTAAAGTCCAAAGTGGGGCGCAGACTGGGGAATACAGATCGGAGAGACTTACGAGAGAGACCCTTGGGGGTGTTGAAATAGTCTCTGTCTTGATCTGCTATGGTTACATAGGGTGTGCTTACAAAAAGTCCCAGAGTTCTATGCTAACTGTGTATGTCCAGTGAAAAGCTATTACTGATTAAAATGCTGGGGGAGGTGCTAGCTAGGTGAATCAGGGGTTAAGAACACTGGCTGCTCTTGCAGAGGATCCAGGTTCAGTTCCCGGCACCCACGTGGTGGCTCACAACCACCGTAACTCCAGTTCAAGGGGAGCCGATGCCCTCCTCTGACCTCTGTGGGCGCCAGGCACACGCAATTGCATACAATGAAATAAATATAAAAATAAACCCCAAACCCTGCGGGGCCAGGCCCTGCTCACCACCCCTGCCCTGCCCCTGTGACAAGGACTTACCGCCTAGAGGGGCCCCCACTGAGCCATCTCCCCGCCATCCTCCCTCAGAACAGCCTGGCCCAGTGGGGCGCCTCAGCAGCCATGCAGGTGGTGTCCCGGCGGCGGAGTGAGGTGCGGGTGCCCTGGCTGCACAACTTGGCAGCCTCCCAGGATGAGAGCCACGATGACCAGACGGACTCGGAGGGAGAGGAGACGGACGAGGAGGAGGAGGAAGAGGGGTCCGAGGCTGAAGAGAGCGTCAGGGAGGTGATGAAGACAGTGAGAGCCTCAGGCCTCACAGCCCAGGGGTGGGGTGAGAAGCAGGGGGACAGGGAAGAATCAAGGACTCTGTCCCCGGTCACCCCAGTCCACAGCCGACTCAGAGGGCTCCACAACACCCACAAAGCAGGCAGGGCGGCCATTGCTGCTCCGTTGTGCAGACAGAGAGACTGGGGTTCAGAGAGGGGAAGCGGCGTGCCCAAGGCCACCCTATCCACAGCCAGGGACAGACCCAAGCCTGGTTTGTTTTTAATTGTTGTCGTTCGTTTGTCTCCCTTTTGTGTCCGTGTTTCCTTCCTAGCTCTGGGCTGGTGGTTAGGGGAAGGGTCGGAGGAGCTGATGCAGGGCAGGGGCTAACGGTTCCCTGGCCCACAGGTAACAGCCCTGCCCACCCCGAGAGGCCTCCTGGGTGGTGTAGTACACACTATGCAGAAGACTCTCCGGAACACCATCTCAGCAGTGACATGGGCACCCGCAGCTGTGCTGGGCACGGTGGGAAGGATCCTGCACCTTACGCCAGCCCAGGCTGTGACCTCCACCAAAGGGAGGGCCATGTCCCTGTCCGACGCCCTGAAGGGTGTCACTGATAACGTGGTAGACACTGTAGTACACTATGTGCCGGTGAGTCCCACCCCAGGGACACCTTCTCCCAAGGTAGATTTCACTGAAGGAGATGCAGGCCCCCTCCCCTGCCTTTCTTCCTGCCCTGGAGACCCTTCTCCAGCTTCTCCAACCTTCAGTACTCAAAACCTCCCTACACACTGATCTTTCCCGGCCCAGAGTCAGATGTTCACAGCCCTGGCCTCAGACCTCCTCCCTACATTGTGACTCCCATTTGGTGATGGAGTCATTGGTCTGTGAGTCCCTAGCGACTCACCCCTCCTACTTCAGCTCCGAGAGGAAGAGGCTGGCAATTGGCTTTCAGGGCACCTGGAGCAGTATACAGTGCATCCCTTTTTTTTTTTTTTTTTTTTGTAATCCTATAGGAAATGCTCAAAGAAGAAACTTTTTTTTTTTTTTGGTTTTACGAGACAGGGTTTCTCTGTATTGTTTTGGAGGCTGTCAGTCCAGCCCGGCCTCGAACTCACAGAGATCCACCTGCCTCTGCCTCCCAAGTGCTGGGATGCAAGGTGTGAGCCACCACCGCCCAGCTAGACTGTGCATTCTAAGGACAGCAGCTAGCCCTATGTCAATTCTATCAACAGCAGGGGGCGGGGCAAGACTAATGCCATCTTTTTTTGGGAATCCCTGAGACCCTTTCCAAAGGAAGTTACAGGTTGATCAGGTTGAAGGAGAGCTTGGTGGAACAGGAGGCCCCTGGAGCTCTCCAGGGGAAAAGTTACTCAATCACTGAGAGTGGGAGGCATAGCATGCTTCAGGAAGGGGATCATTCCCACCACCAGAGGCCATCAGGGTCCTTAGAACCTCAGGGGTCTCCCGGATACCCTTCATCCTGACGGCCTACACCCCAGTCTGTGCCCTTGTGATGGCTGCCCCGGGGATGGGAGTGGGGGGAACTAGGCCAGAGGCCATAGGAAGGGCCGTGACAAGAGTGCCTGGCTGTCAGCTTCCCAGGCTGTCCCTGATGGAGCCCGAGAGCGAATTCAGAGACATCGATAACCCGCCAGAAGAGGCCGAGCGCAAGGGGTCCGGGGCGAGGCCGGCCAGTCCAGAGTCCGCGCAGCGCCCATGCCAGCCTCGTGGCAGCTCGCGCAGCGTGCGGGGGCTCAGCGCGCCCTCCTGCCCCGGGCTTGACGACAAGGGGGAGACGTCGGCGCGTCCGGGCTTCCTGGCCATGCCCCGGGAGAAGCCTGCACGCAGGGTCAGCGACAGCTTCTTCCGGCCCAGCGTCATGGAGCCCATCCTTGGCCGTGCACAGTACAACCAGCTGCGCAAGAAGAGCTGAGCCGCCTGTGTCCCTGCTAGCCCCGGCGCCACCGCACGGAAGGGTTGCTTCTCCACAAGGAAACAGAAACGACACTTCTAATGGGTCTCTCCTTCAGGGGGGCCCCTTGGTAGCCTGAGCCACACCTCCACAGTGCTGTCGAGGCACACATCGCTTCTAAAGCATCCTTTGGGGGCCTGACCATCACAGGCAGTTTTTAAGGGGCACCAGAGCAGCGGACAATTCTCATTTCATGGCTTTCTTTACTTTTCTTTAACTAAAAAAGTAATTGCTTAATTCGATTGATCACTTTACCAAAACTTCTGGCCAATGACACCTGACTGGTTCTAAAATTCATATCCCTGTATTTATTGCCAAAAAGTAGAGTCAGCTGACATTTTCTTTTCGTTTTTCTTTCTCCTCCCTTCTTTCACATCTCTCTTCCTCCTCCTCCTCCTCTTCTTCCTCTTCCTCCTCCTCCTCCTCTTCTTCCTCTTCCTCCTCTTCTTCCCCCTCCTCCTCTTCCCCCTCCTCCTCTTCCTCCTCCTCCTCCTCTTCTGCTTCCTCCTCCTCCTCCTCCTCCTCCTCCTCCTCCTCCTCCTCCTCCTCCTCCTCCTCCTCCTCCTCCTCCTCCTCCTCCCCTTCGCTCTTCTTCTTTCTTCCCTCTCCCAAGTAGCACAGGCTGGGTCCATCTCCAGTGCTAAGTAAGAGATGCACTCCCTGGCCACTCCCTCTGAAAGCCAGGAATTCTCAGGGCATCTTCAGCGTTGAGCTCTGAGACCCTCTGATTACCTGGCTCTCGGCACACTGCTTTAAAAAGAAGAACAAGGTGCCAAAGGCTTTGTGTGTTATCTAGATATAATAGTTCTAGTGTTTGAGTGCCCCCCGCCCCCGCCCGCACACCCCCGCGCCCCTCCCCCCCGCCCCTGCGCGCACAGGAGGGGCCTCTCGGCTGTCCTCCGCAGGGCCAGCTTTCACCCACAGCCACTCTTCCATCCATCGCATCACTCTTACCTTCTACCTGTGTGGCCACTCTTGAATGTTGGTACTCCAGATGCTGGGAGCCAGCAATGGTCACCTTTAGCCTAATAGTGTGTATTATACAGAGTGCATATCCATAGCCACCATTCATTCCAAATCCCATTATTGGAAATGCCAATACGTGGTCAACCTAAGAAATTCATAAATATACTTGCAATGTTCAAACATTTCAAGGTGTGTGTTTTCCTTTCTGGATTTCTCAGTTCTCTTTCATAAAACCAGCCACAGTTCAGTCTCTCATGGATCCTTCCAGTTATAGGCTATGCTTGGGCAAGCACATGTGTATAAACACCTGTCTTTGCTTGTGCAAACTGTGGGTGGTGTCCTCCCCTGGCTTTTCCTACTCTGATCAATACATCATTTTTAGATGCTTATAATGCTTAAAAAACTGTTTCTAAGCCGGGCATTGGTGGCGCACGCCTTTAATCCCAGCACTCGGGAGGCAGAGGCAGAAGGATCTCTGTGAGTTCGAGACCAGCCTGGTCTACAAGAGCTAGTTCCAAGACAGCCTCCAAAACCACAGAGAAACCCTGTCTCGAAAAACCAAAAAAAAAAAAAAACCACCAAAAAACAATGTTTCTTTTACTTAATGTTTTTCTAAATATATGTGTCTGTGCACCAGGTGTGTTCCTGGTGCCCACGGAGGTTGGAATGGATCCCCTGGAACTGTAGTTATAGGTGGTTAGCGGCCATGTGGGTGCTGGGGAAAAAACCATGGACCTCTGCAAGAGCAATACGTGCCGTGCTCCTAACCACAGAGCCGTCTCTCCAGCTCCTCAATTACACATCTTACCCTTTTTTGTACCAGTATCAGAAGTCCTACGTACTCTTCTGAATGGTAATCCACAATATGAAAGAAATAAGGACAATTTGGTGTAGTTAGCTTCCTAATGATGAACTTTTAGGTTGTTTCCTTTTTCCTCCCTCCTGTAAGCAGTAAGGCTGGGATGTTCTACAGAGCAAATGCTTCATAAGTACAGAGCTCTGGGTTCAGATCCCAGCAACAGACACACACCAAGTCTTATACATATATATCTCCGGACAAGTTGTAACTTGTAACCATGGCATTCTTGATGAAATAATAATGTGATTTGAAATACTGATAATTCCAGCTGTCTTTCCAAAGGAGACCCTATTTTGTTCAGTTATTGTCATCGGCTGCCATATAAATGTTCACAAACATTAGGACACTTCTGTCCTTCCTTCCAGGAGTCCATATATACACTATACCCTGTGGGAATCCCTCAGACCCATGAATACCCTCTTGGCCCCTGCTGTGTGGTATGCTGACACCTGGTCTTTGGCAGACCCTGTTGTAATGAGTTCTATACCTTAATCCATGGTTCTGGAGTTTGAGGATGCCAAAAACAGGGGAGTGGCCAGGGGGCATGCCCATGTGAACATGACTAGTACACTTCTAAGTGCACACCACACTTAGGAATGCCTCGGGCTGTAGTGGATGTGGGTCTGGCAAGAGGGGTGCTTAGATGCTGGTATGCAGGGATGTCTCCGGTCGAGCTGCATGGACAGCTGCTGGAGAGTGACACCAGGCCCGGGTGTGCAGGGAGAAACGCAGGCTCGACCTGGCCTCCCTATCTGTTTGGGGCATCCCCACCCACCCTGGACCTCCCCTGTCTACCCTGGTATCTCCTACCTCCCCACCCATCCCAAGACTCTACCCACAGCACTGCAACAAAGTAAAACAAATCACAAAAGTCCCACTATATTTCCTGAACATTTGTATTTCCCCTTCTGTGAAGTGTTTTCCTCTTGGTAGCTTATTTTCCTCGTCGAGGCCGGGGGTTCTGCACATTTTTCCCAGAGAGGGATCACTCAACAGCTGCACATGCCACATGTGTCTTACTTTCCCATACGACTATTTTTCATCTTCATGATTGTTTTTAAATGAGCACAGGTTCTTTTTTAAAAAGGGCTTTATTTTGGGCAGGCAGTGGGGGCACATGCTTTTAATCCCAGCACTCAGGAGGCAGAGGCAGGTGGATCTCTGTGAGTTTGAGGCCAGCCTGGTCTACAAGGTGAATGCCAGGACTGTTACACAGAGAAACCCTGTCTCAAAAAAGCTACCACTAGTTGTAATAGTAATAAAAAAAAGGTTTTATTTTTAATTATGTGCATAAGTTTGTGTCTGTGTGTGGGTTTGTGCACATGAGTGCAGCACCCCAGGAAGTCAGAGATGGTATCTGATCCCATGAACCTGGAGTTTGGTCATGAGATACATGGGTATTAGGAACCAAACTAGGGTCCTCTGCAAGAGCAGGATTTGCTCCTAAGCACTGATTGATTGATTTAAATTTGATTTATTTAAATTTAGTCAAATTAACATTTTTTATTTTATACTTTGCAATTCTTAGTTACAACTTTATAGTTTTTAAAGATTTATTTATCATGTATACAGCCTCCTGCTGACACGTGTGCATGCACACCAGAAGGGGGCGCCAGATCTCATTATAGATAGCTGTGAGCCACCATGTGGCTGCCGGGAATTGAACTCAGAACCTCTGGAAGAGCAGCCAGTGCTCTTAACCTCTGAGCCATCTCTCCAGCCCTAGTTACAACTTTAAAGGTATTCCTTCCCACAAAGCCATGATGGTATTGTAACAGGGCCCCAGAACTTAGTAGGCCCTGGACCTTGGCACAACAGATACCATGATGGGAGTACCACTTAGGCCCTGGAACCCAGCAGGTAGGCAGCAGCACCTGCCAGAACAAGAACAAAGACCTAATCCATCAGATCCTGTGGCTCTGGGAAAGTCCCTACATGTACTAACCTTGCTTTTTGGCTTCTGTAGATCCCACTGTCAACCCAGGATGTGGGTTTTGTTTGTTTGTTTTGTGTCTGTGTGGCAGGGAAGGGGGGTGCTTAAGCCTGCACCTGGGTCCTGAAAACATCCAGCGTAGTCAGCAGCTGTCTAGTAAAGACTTTCCATTGCCTTAAACCTGTGTCCGGGTGGTCTTCTCTGGTGGGTTTCTCACAACAGTATCTCTTGTATTTCTCCAAATATTTTCATAATGTCATTCTATACATTTGATTACTTCTAAAAATATTACTTGAGTGAGGATTTGATTTTTCCATCCATGTGCAGAACTGACTGGAGGCCTGCAGGTTTCCCAGTCACTCTACCCTGAGATTTCTTTAGTGCTGAATACCGCAGGAGAACTGAGAGTTTCTCAGCTGGAGACTTCTGACCTCCTGTTGTCTGATGCCTGGTTGGAGTCAACAGACCAAGTTCTGTCTGAAGTCTCAGGAAGCCTGACTTGCTGCTGACCAACACCCTGTTATACAAGCCTGGCTTCTGGTCTACTCTGGTTATTTACATCTATGGGGCTCTCTGAATCACAACGGCTTCAGTTTTTAGATCTGCTTAGCCACCCCACACTGCTCATTGGCAGGGCCGTCTTTCTGCTCCACGCTCTTTGTGTTTCCGTATAGGTGATAAAAACCAGCTGGCCAGACCCTTCGTTCTTTAAGGCCTGTCCCGACTTTCAGAACATCTGGACTTTTCCTGCTTTCCTTCCTTCCTCCCCCCTCCCTGCCTCCCTCCCTCCCTTCCTTGCTTCCTCTTTCCTTTTCTGCCTCCCTCTCCCCCCCTCCCTTCCTCCCTCCCTCCCTCCCTCCCTGCCTCCCTCACTCCCTCCCTCCCTCCCTCCCTCCCTTCCTCCCTCCCTGCCTCCCTACCTCCCTCCCTTCCTTCCTCCCTTCCTTTCTCTTTCCTTTCCTGCCTCCCTCTCTCCGCTCCTCTTTATCCCCCCCCCCCCCCCGTTCTTGTCCTCATCACTTGCTCTTTCCCTCTCCTCCTCGCCCCTCCCTTTCTTTCTTGGGTCTCATATAGCCTACGCTGGCCTCACACTTGATATTCAGCTGGTGCTGGCCTCAGACTCCTGATCCTTTCGTCCCCATCTCCCCAGTTCTGCGATTACGGACGCCAACCACCGCACCAAACAACACCTACATTTTCCGACCACAAAAAAAAAATTCTTTCAGTTCTTGGCCCAATATGTAGAACCATCTATTTTGAACTAGAACCAGTGATAAAGACCACAGTTTGAACACTGGGATGGGCATACTAGATTGTTCCATGAGGGTTTTGGTGGTAGACATGAAAACATTGCCTGCTCACTGGTAAGGGTCAGGAAAAGGTCGCTTCTTTTTAAAGTCATGAATTCAGATCGACAGTTCCGGTGATGTTTAACACCGCAGAATTCCACGATTTTACTGTAACATTAACAGCGTTAGT